CAGGGATACTCTAGTATTACTATTCTACTACTATTATTCTATTATATTACTGCTACTTAGGACTTTGACAACATAAAACAGAAGTAAACCCATAATAAGGAATGCCCTGTATCGGTCTAATTCCAAAAGTTCTAAACCTGTGGTTGTGACCCACTCTATACCCTGCTGGAGGGTGTGTGGGAGTTCGCCCAGCCAGTCTACTTGTGGTTTGTGGGCCTGGAGAAGGCATTTGACCGTGTCCCTTTGCGATCCCTGTCGGGGGGTGCTTTGGGAGTATGCCCTACTAGGCCCTTTGGTACTGGCTGTTGGGTTCCCGTATGACCGGTGTCAGTGCGGCAGTAAGTCGGGCTCCATCAAGGCTACCTTTTGTCACAGATTTTATTTGTAACATTTATGGGCTAGGCAGTTAACTGCGGCTACAAAAGCAGCATCAGAAGATTGTTCTTTAAAAGAGCCTGTTTTGTGAATGAAAAACAGGAGGGGCAGTCCTTTTAGTTTTGGTGTATATATATTGGTGATTGGCATAAAAACATAATGCAATTATAGCAGCACAATAAGAGACACAAGGTAGTTGACTCAATAAATTCATTCCAAAATCATAAAGTCCATTGTTCTTTTTCTAGCTCGCCATCTTCAGATCCAGATGAGGATCTGGTCCAATAGGGAAAAGCCCCGCCCTGACCTTTTCAAAGAGAGTAAGACGTACTTAGCCACAATGAGTGGTGACAGAATCGTGGTGACGTTCCAGGTAAACAGCACTAACAATTCAGGCAATCAGATCAGTAGATTCAAAGATTTATATCAATTTGTGTGGAGGACACCAACAGCAAGCCACATTAACTGGTGAGGAAGTTCAAACTGCGTGCTGGAGGCGGGGCTTGAAAGAAGCTGGCAGAGTTTGGGGAACACAGGAAGTGGGCCTGCAAAAATAAAAGTGCCTGACTAATTGTAGGTTACATATTCATAATGTTTATGGAAAGAATTTCTAGGCACAGCCAAGGCACTGAGGGGACCCATTTTGGTGGTCTTTTTGCAGATGATGTTGTTCGTTATTCTGCAATAGCCAGCCACTCCTTAATCTCACCACCGACTGACTACTGACCAGCTCTCTGTCTAACAGGTCCGGAAAATCCCTGAAACCTGGGTCTTACCCTAAAATAGGTGTACAGGAG